TTTCCCCACTGACCCATCCATCATACCTGGCATTACCATCTGGTGTCACTTCCACAGCTGCAACATCTTCAGTGTTCCACTGCCATGGACTCCTACTGTGGGACAACATCCCACTCTGATGCCATTCATTCATAGAATGGTTGAAAAGGACCATAATAGTCAACTATTTTCAACCCCTCTACCACAGGCAGGGTTGCCAACCACTAGACCAGGCTGCCCAGAACCACATCCAGCCTGGCTTTGAAAGCTTCCAGGGATGGAGCATTCCATCTCATTTCCCCAGAGAAACATGGATAGGAAGGAGAGGATGCAATACACCATACTAAACATGCAATTACTGCATGTGCAGGAATTGGGTTGCACAACATGGTTGTGCCCTCTGAAATGTTCTGATAATAAAAAGGAGATTTGAGCCTACATCTACACCAGTAAATAAGCCAAGGACAAGGGCATGGGCTTGCTCGTCAGTACAATTCCAGAGGTGAATTTTTCACCAATGTCAAGACCACATGCAGGAGACAGCCCAGACCCAGTGGGCCATTCTTCTGTAATGCTTGGGATGTACTGAGCACCATTTGTGCTGGTTTCCTTGGAAGCAGGAAAGGATCTCAGGCAGGACTGAATTTCTGTACCACGCCTTGGTGATAGTGGGTATTTTGGGAAATTAAATTTCCCAAAACTCAGCAATTCTTCAAGCTTTTCTTCCTCTGAATCCTTCAGTCCCACAGTGTGGACAAGCCCTGGGGGGAGCATCAATCCACAGTTACATCCAGCCCAACAGCATGACAGCTTTTCCCCACACAGCAAAAAACTCTGAGCATGGGGAAAGGAGAAACAAAGCAGCCTGGAGAGGTTTTTAAACTGTGCAGAGGGGCAAAGCACTGCCTTCCCTTGTCACCACTGCTGACATCCAGCTGGGAGCTGGGCAAGGAGTAGATAAGCTGCTGTCCCAGGTTTTCTAGGGTGGAGGACATTTCCAAGCCTTCTCCTTGCTCTCCTCTCTGCTGTAGCATTTATTTACTCTGCCCTCCTCACCCACACCAGTGCTCTCACCCACTACTTTTAGAGGTTTCCTGAGGACACAGGACTCTATATCTTATCCTGCTGTTGGGATCAGCTCTGGAGGACAAGTCCTGGCCCTGCAATCTCTACTCTGTGCAGCACCGGGATCCTAATGTTTGAACATGAGACTGCTGGCTCATGAATCCCTTCAGATGGGTTTGAGCTCATGCTTCTGACTGCGAGACTTGAGGCTTTGCTGACACCAAATCATGCTTTGGCCAAGCAACCAATACACTGAGCAACGTCCACTCCCTTGCTCTCACCTCTAATCGTAAAATGGTCCTAATAAAGCTCCTAAGAGCTCCTCAGCTTTACAGTGAGTTGAAGAACAGCATTTCTGTAGGAGGGAGCAACGTGGGAGCAGCTCTGGTTTTGCCATGACAGATTCCTGTGTTGCATGAAGGGGAGGATGAGTGTTACATCAGTTATAGCAGAATAGCACTGCAGGATCTGAGCTTTGCATGGCACCAGGAGGGCAGGTTTTAATGGTTAAGGAGGGCGCTACACCCCATGGATAAGGAGGAGTGGAAAGAGTTAGTGGAATTTAGTATTAGAGAGGGGAGAAGATGTTAAAGGAGTCATTGCAAAGAGGGAATGTGCAGGAAAATCGGAAAGAGGGGACAGAATCATCCATAATTCAGAATGGATATTATGAGAAATTTATTCTCAGGAAGAGTGGTGAGGGATTGAAACAGGTTGCACAGGGAGGTAATGGAGTCACTGTCCTGGGAGGCGTTCAAGAAATGTGTAGCTGTGGCACTGAGGGACATGGTTTAATGAGCATGGTGTTGATGGATTGACAACTGGACTAGATGATTGTAGTGGTCTTTTCCAACCTTAATGATTCTATGATTCTGTAACAGCACAGATCCCTCCAGTTTGATTCTCTCTTCACTCCCTAGGCCAGGGGACTTTGCAGATGCCAAGAAAAGAATGTTCCCTGCATAAAGCCCAGCAATTGGCGGGACTCCCAAGAGCACCACAGGAAGAAAGGGAGGTTTGCATCTTACTTCCAAGTATCCCACAGACATACACTGTGGGCTGAAACCTTGCAGAGCTTGGTACCAGCTTTGGGCTTTGGATATTTTGTTGGATGGGACTATAGACAGCCTGGTCTAGTGACTGGCAACCCTGCCTATGGCGCAGGGGCTTGGAACTTCATGACCTTTAAAGTCCCTTACAACCCAAATTATTCTATGGTTCTGTGGTTCCATGATTCTATGAGTCTATGCTAGAGCAAGAACAAGCTCCCCAGGAGCTGATATGAGACAAACAAGAAAACCCTACGCCAACAAACAGAGGCACATCCCCTGCTGCCGACAGCGTGGGAGTAAGCAGACGCTGGAGGCTCGCCAGGGCTGCTCACACAGTCTGGTTGGTTTCCAGCAGAGCCCTTGCATCCCTTGCATGGCTGCTGGTTTCTGTTCCCTTGAAAATTGCTCTGGCATTCTGTAGCCACTCCAGTGCCGTACAGAGGCACCAGCTCCCTCTCGTGGGCTTAGATCAGCTCTCATTGTTGGAATACATCCAGGATTTCCCAGGAAAGTTATTATCTTTTTTTTTTTTTCTTTCCTTTTTTCTTTTTTTCTTTTTTTCTTTTTTTCTTTTCTTTTCTTTTTTTTTTTTTTTTTTTGACACCTGTCATTCTGAATATTCACTAACGCAAAATTGAAGTTTTGTGGGAATGTGTTGACTTCTGTCAAGTTTCCTTTCAGTAAGTATAAGGAGTCTCATTTCTTCCCATATTTTTGCTGTCATTTTTATTTTGTCAGTGATTCAAAGCAACTAATTTGGGGAATCACCCCCAAAGTGTCCAGTTTTCTACTAACTCAACATTGATGCATTCAGAGTTGAGATACGCCAATGAAGGCCGTGGTGTAGCTTCCCAAAGGTTATTTCACTTTCTACTGGTTGAGAGGTGATGGATACACTGTTCCTATACATGTTCATGAAATGTGAAGATGTGGCACTGGGGAACATGGGTTAGTGATTTTGGTAATTGATTGGCAGTGGGACTAGGTGGTCTTGAAGGTGTTTTCTTAATGATTCTATGGTTCTGTTTTCTGTCAAGTCAAAAGTGAAGAAACAAAATGGAAATAAAAATTAAAACAGCTGGTTTCAATCTGTGCAACAAATAAAAATGTGACTTGAGTCCATACAGGACCTTGGAAATACTAATTTCTGTTTTGAAAAACTCCCCAAATTGCTGGAATTTCCCTCAAAGCTGAGATCCCACCCCAGGCCGCAGCAGGGAAGTGACATTAGTCCATGGAGATGTAAGACCACAAAAATGATCCAAGGGATAGAACACCTCCCCTGTGAGGACAAGCTGAGAGAGCTGGGGCTGTTCAGCCTGGAGAAAAGAAGGTTTCAGGGAGATTGGAGCAGTCTTTCAGTGTCTAAAAGGGGGTCTGTAAGAAAGAAGAGGGTAGAGACTTTAGCAGGATCTGTTGTGATAGGACAAGGAGAAATGGTTTCAAACTAAAAGAGGGAAGATTTAGACTGAATATAAGGACAATTTTTTTTAATTTTTATTTTTATTTTTATTTGCTATAAGGGTAGTGAAGCACTGGAACAGGTTGCCAAGAGATCTGCTGGGTGACATTCAAGGTCCAGTCCCTGAATAACATAATAATGATAATAATAATAATAATCACAATAATGAGCTGTAGATGTCTCTGTTTGTTGCAGGGGAGTTGGACTAGATGACATTCCAACTCAAGATGACCTTCCAACTCCAATGATTCTATGGATCTATGTTCATCTAGCTCCAGCCCCCTGCCATAGGCAGGGTTGTCTGCAGGGTCTCACCAACATCCTAGTGATGTTCACAATCCCACAAAGAAAACAAGGATATGACCCTACATGCCAAACTCTACAGAGAGTTGGGCAACATTTTGGTGGAACCACTCTTCAGAAAGGTGGTTTGAGGTTTTCCTGCTTGCCTTAACACTCATCTTGTTGGTTTGGGTGGATGGTGGCCATAGAAAGGCTTGACTACATGTATTTGCCATTTGCCCTAATCTTTGCAAGGCTTGATGGCTCCAGTTGGCTTCCAGCACTCTTTCAGCTTTGTTCACACACTCACAGCTTGGGCTAAATTTATTGCATGGGTTTGGCTGTTGGAGGCTTCAAGTTTATAGCTGTGATGCTTGAGGAGAAGGGTTATAACCAGACACAGCAGATCTGACCATACAACCATCTGGCCCCAAAGCAGCTACGTCACAGCTTCCCCTTCCTTCCATTTGACTCATCACTTAGGTATTTAAACTGCTATTTATTATCTGCAATCAAGCACTTACTATGTCATCTGTAATTGTGTGTTTCTTCACCTCTATGCTGCATGCACATGCCAGCTCCAGCCACTGAAAGGATGCAGTGTTTGCCTCCTGCCATGCTCAGGCACTTCTTCCTCCATGTGCTTCTCTCCAGTGTCTACCATCACTTTGGAAGACAAACTCAAAGTGCTCTTCCACTTTATGCCATGTGCTAGGACAAGCAGGGACTGGTGCAGTACCCATTCCAAAAGTCTGATTCAAGTTCTTGGGATCCATGGGGTAATTCTCTGTACAGCCTCATCCCTGTGCTAATGATTGCTACCTCTCTGTGGTCCCCATCAACTCTGACTGCTGGGAAGAATCAGTGGTTAGACATGACACCTAAGTTTTTTTTCTACCCACACATCTCAGATAAGAGGTTTTGCTCCTCCAGGATGGTTTTGTGCCATGGGAGGAGGTCACATTTTAATGCCTTTAGAGCTGCAGTGCCTTTTGCTCTTTACATTTATGTTTCTTTATATTTACCATGGGGTACAAGAAGGCTTTTCTGCAGCAAGGATAGAGCAAACCAAGCCAGCAAACCAAGCAAAATAAGACAGTTCTGCTTGAAAATGGCAAAAAAAAAAAAAAAAAAAAAAAAAAGGGAAGAAAACAATCCTGTCTTTTCCTGCAGGCTGCAGGGGACTGTCTCTGCTGCTGCAGGATGTGTAAATCCAATGCAATGAAATATTAATTATTAGAGTCTGTCCAACTGGGATTCCTTTCAGAGAGCTGAATAATTCTGGTGCACTGAAAAGAAAAAAAACAAAAAACAACAACCAAAAATACGCACACACACACAGTCGGGTTTTTTTTACATTAAAAAATTGTGTCTGGAGTAAATTAGAGCTTTTGAGCACTCAGGCTTAGAGACAGGAGGGTGCTGTGATTGCTTCAAGGCGAAAAGAAGAAGCAGATTCCTAATTAGGGCATGAAAACGACCGTGGTCTAAGAGGTAAAGAGAGGTGCATTGGTCAGCACAGCTTCTTCAGCTCAGAGAGCTTCCCTTGCAGGTTGGTGTAGGGGTAAAGGAAAAGCTGAAGCCGATTAATAAAAGAGAGCATGCATCTCTGAAGGCTGCCGTTATGCAGCATTTCAGAAGGAGGCATTCATCCGGAGAAGCCGTGGCACTGGCCTCAGGGAGATGCACTCTGCAGGGCTCAAAGCCCCTTTTGTCCCCTTGTTTACCAGCGTTGGGTTGGAAGCACCACACAGCACGGAGCGTCATCCTTTGGCTGAGCAGCACTTTGCAGATTTGAAAGCTCAGAGAGAGTTGATTGTGAAGCGAGTCCTGGGCTGCAGATGTGCTCTGTTTTGCTCATGGGAGTGTGGTGCAAAAGTTCAGCATCCAAATTATGGCCCCAGACCTGAGAAGAGCTCCTCCACCCTCCCAGCTTATCCAAGTTTGTGCATTTCCATTCTCCTTCAAAAAGTGCTTCTGGGGAAGAGGGAAAGGCACTCAGCAACACCTCTGGCAATGGAGAGTCCCTGAGCTCTCATTATCATCATTTATTTTTTCAGCTTCCTTTTACCCTCCATTCTCTGCAGCGTCTGGAAACATCTACATGCAATACTCAAAAATCTGTATTCTTCTCTCATAAATCTCTCCAGATGTTCCTCCCCAGATTGACCCAAAGGCTGCAAGTACTTTTCATTACCCTGCAGTTGCTCTGAGGGATGTCCGAGGGATGGGTAAATGAATGACTCATTGTCATCAGGACGATGCATTGCCAAGAGCTAGATCCAGGGGAACTGGTTCACTTGGCTCAAACAGCAGCTGCAAGCAAGCAAGGCAACATGAAGCGGGTGGCCAATGAGAGCCCCTGGAAATGGAGGTGTAGTAGTAGAAGTACTTATTTCTGGTCTACCCTCTATCCCAAGGCTGGAAAGCTGCTCTTTGCTGTGTGGCTCCCACCTGCACCCAAGACAAGGCAAGACTGCAGGAGAAATCCCTCCAGAGAGGCACAGGCCGTGCAGAAGCAGCATCTCCCTCCTCCAAGCTGCAGAGGACACAGCATGGCCACTTCTCCATCAAAGTACTGGGGTGACAGAACTCAGGCATAAGAAGCAAGTAAGAAGCTCCAGATGAAGAGGCAACACAGGGCAGGAGGTGGCAACCATAATATTTTATCTACTTAGCATGCATGCATGGTGTCCATACCATAGGATCGTAGAATCATAGAGTCATAGAATCACATAATCATGGAATCATAGAATCAGAATCGTAGAGTGGCTTGGGTTGGAAGAGACCTCAAGGATCATCAAGTTCCAATCCCGCTGCCGCAGGCAAGGTTGTCAACCATTAGATAAGTTGCCCAGGTCCCCGTCCAACCCGGTCTCAATCACATCCATAGTCAGGGCACCACAACCTCTCTGGGCAACCTGTTCCAAGACTACTTCACACTCTCACTGAAAGACTTCCCCCCGACATACCCTTCTGGGGAAATCTGACCATGTTCTTCAGGCCTTCAGGAGCCCTTTTCTCTGAGCAAGTGAAGGGCACTGATTCAGGAGCCCCTACATCTTATGGTCGAGCAAGCCTGGGTCCTGGGCAGGCAGGTAGGTTGCACAAGAAGGTCTGGCAGCAGAACGAGGTGTAGGTAGCCAGGCCCAGGCTGAAGTTGTGGTATGGACAGGTCTTGGAGCACTTCTTAGTGATCCTTTTCCAGAAAGACAAAGAACCTTGATCAAAGGAGAAAGGGGAGAGCAGTATTAGTGATGTGGACTTCCCAAGAGCTCTTCAGTCTTCTAGAAGAGGAACTAATATGTCTTCCTGTCATGAGGACAGCTCGGTCAATAAGACCCCTCCCAATCTCACCCACTCAGTGATTGCCAAGACCATTTAATATCTCTGAAGGGCATCCAGCACTTCCCAGCATAGATCCTCATGCTGAGTCTTTATTAGGTGTACAAAGATGGCATACATAGAATCATTTAATATCCTGAGATAGAAGGGATCCACAAGGAATATTGAATCCAGCTCCATGAAGCTCCATAAAGGAATGTTCTTGCCTGGATTGAAAGCACGTTGCCAGGTTTTAATTTCCTTCTGCATCTCACTAGACCTTTTTCAGCATCCTTTTACATACAGGCATAAAACAAGAAAGAAGATCCCAAGCTGTGTTGGGGAGGAATTTTTCAAACTCTGCTAACTTCAGCACTGCCAGATTGGGCTATCAAAATCTCCATCTTCCATATGTCCTTCCCCATGATTCCTCAACTCATCCATTCACAAAGGGCAACCTAGCCAAAACCCACATTCCATTCCTGAGTCCCTGTGCACTGACAGCACATACCTATTCCTACAGCGGCAACGTTCGTCACACAGTACTCATCCTTGTCTGAGCACTTCTTAGCCTTCAGACAGCTCCAGTTGCTTTGTTCCCACTCACAGGTGTAGCAATATAGGGCTTTTGCTGCAGGATGAGACATGAGAAGATGGAATATGAAAGATGATGACAAAATGCTATTACTCCCACTAGCAAAAATTACCACTTTCTTTCCATTGCCCCTCAAGTGCACAACATGCAAATTTGCTGAAAACTACGGATTTGCAAGACTCAGACTCATCTCACTCTGCTCTCTGCACACTTTGCACATTTAAACCCAACACATGCACCCAGGTGCAGGCATTTGTATGTAGAAGATCCTGCCCTGCACTCAAAATACAGCACAGTGAGCCAAAGACACTGGGTTTGATATGATGCAAAGAGCAGGGAAGGTCAGGATTTGCTGTAGGAGTCTACAGGGATGTCCCAAGGCTTGGATTCATTTTTTCTAGCTGCTAGGGACATTATAAATAAGAGTACAGCCCAACTGGTCCATAAGTGCTGGCAGTTGTTTGCCCCATTAATTGGGACCTCCATGGCCTGAAGTTGTCAGTCCTCACACTTAGGGTCTATGGGTGGAACTTCAATGCCTTCAAATCTGTGTTAAAACACCAATGAAAAATACTACATTTAACTCTTAGCTGTGTGAATTCAGCCATAAGACATGTACAGCCCAAAACCTTGTTTTTTACTGCCTAAGTTATCTAACTCAAGTTAAGGTGCTCTTGGTTTTGGTGCTGAAGAGAATCTCTCTGTCCCCTGGGCCTTGTTAACACTTGGAAATTTGCAAAAATCACTATTCTAGAAAGTGAACCAAGGTAAATAGCAGAAAGGTATTCTTAGGCCTCAATGAGACAGAAATAACTATTCCAATAAATTATTTTTCTACAGCAGAAAATGTGGCAAATTTCCAGGAGCTGGAAAACCTTATTTCGCTCTACAAATCAAGGATGACATTTACTCTCCTGGTTGCTTATGTATTTTGTCAATAGCGGATATAGGACCATATACTTTCAGAGGGCTCAGATTTCAATCTCAGTAAAATAAACAATACAATCCATAATGCAAATAAGAAGCAAATATTCCTCTCCACCCAATATCCCAGCATAAAGACACTTATCCCATATAGCTCACTACCAGACTTCTCCCTAATTCCCCAGCTTGACTCCAAAGACCCAGAAATCACTTGGGTAGGGTCTCTGAGAAGGGCAGACAGTAGGGGCATTCAGCAGGAAGCTGCACAAAGGAAGATGCAGATCTGGCCCTATCCCACTAGAAATTGTGTCAATAGCTGCAGGAGGAGATAGGAGCACAAAGATATGGATGCATTGTGTGATTGTAGGCTGGAGCATTTCATCAAGATATAGAAATAACCACAGTCTTACAACATCTGAACAAACAAACTCACTGGAAAGTCTTTTATCAAAGACAGAAAAGTGGCAACTGCTTCCTACTTTTTCGTTGGTCTTGCTTTCATAAAAATCCAGTAGTATGTGAGTTTATAGAGAAATATACTCCAAAAAAAAAAAAAGCAAGCCTTCATACATTCAAGCTGAGAAATCAAAGAGGAATTCCATGTCCTTCAGTAGCTCCATTGCAAGCACTGAGGCACTACAAACACTGAGACATCTCTTCCCACAAGTCTTCTCTGATTTTCCAACATTCAACAATTCTTTGTGTAGTAGAAACCATGCTCTTACCTTCATGTGCACATAGGACCAAAGCCAGAAGGACAAGGAGGGAAGCTTTCATCTTCTCAGTCGTCTTCACAGCTCAAGAAAAGCACCCTCATCTGGGGACAGGATATATATCTCGCCTGCGTTTGGACTGAGTGATGATGAAGACAACAATTTTAAAAGATGGGCAGGGATCATGTATTATTTGACAGGATAGGAATGCACGTTGGTTGTTTTCTCACCTCGGCATTGCCTTCGGGCTGGTCTGATGGGTCTGAAGATGAGTGAAAGCACCACCAGGGCAATTCATCCTATTTATTGCTTTTAATGCTTTAATGTCTCTATGGTCAGGCTAGTAGTACTATCAGTGTAGCACTACTGCACCACATCTATGGCCAGATAGTTCAGCAAAGGCATCGACTCAAAGCAAAACGGCAATAAGTAGCATAAATTAATGCCTTCATTGTGTGGATGACTGCCAAGTGCCTTTCCAGGATTAGACCTGGAGAACTCCCTTACGTCTACAGTCAGGGTAGATGGAGCTTTGTATTCATGGTTGACAATATAAACAGGAAACGTTTTATGATTTCCTGTAGCCTATAAAAGCTGCTGGTTACCTATAAAGTGCTAAATGCTTCGCATCCTACTTTTGAAAGGAGCTGCAGCAAGAGAACAATGGCTTTGGTGTTCAAACACAGGAGCTAGCATATTGGAAGTTGGTTTCCAGCTTTGCTACACCTGAGAAAAGTGTAAAAACACCTTTGTGCCCCTTCTACACAGAGCATCCAGTGCAAAGTGCTGCTAGATAGCATTCAAATGTAAGGTTCCCCACCCGTATGACTTCTCTGTATGTTTATCTATTTGGGTGGAGCTGAAGCTGATAATTTAAGACCATCTGGAGCCTCTGTTTGACTGCTTGTCACACTTCTGCTTCTAAGGAAAGAGCTACCAGGAAAACTGGTGCACGAAATCTGCAGACTTCTCCATGAATCATCATAGACCCAGCCACCAAAGAGCAGAGAGGACAAAGCAGGAACAGATTCTCCGCCAGATTACAGCTGCTTGCTCTGCTCAACTCCTCCACCTTGCAAGACTTGGCTGAGGAAAGAAAATGGGATTGAAGAAGGAACAGGGACCTGGATACAACCTGGGATTTAGGAGATGGAGATGCAGAATAAGAATTGGCAGAGACTCAGAGAACATGTAGAAGAGTTTAGATGGAGAAAGGGAAGCCAAAAATACCTGGGTGAACTTTAGGTCCCGAACAGATCAGCCAGATGTGTGAGCAGCCTTGAAGCAGAAGTCATGAGCATCTTGCACATTTAAGGCACCTGATACGACTACTCATTGCTCACCACAGTGAAGGCATGGCCAGAGGAAGTTCAGAGGGACACCAAAACCCATGATATCATCCTTTTCGATGAAAAAAAAAATAATAATAAATGGTGAGGGGGGGTACTGGTGTTGGGGGTAGCAATTTTCAGGTATTTTTGAGGTTTCTGACATTGGCTTCAAACCACTGGGGCTACTGTTGACATGAAGCAGGATTAACAGGATGGTGAAGTCAGCCCTGATAACCTCATGAGCATTCATCATTCCTCAGCAATGGACATACAGCTTCTGGGCGTGGAGAGGGTAAGCCACATCTCTTGCCCAACAGATGAAGTTCTGCCAGGCATAGGGATTGCTTGCCATTGTGGATGCTGAAGGAGGTGTGTCAGTCCTCCTCGATGTCACGAGGCAGCAACCAAAGAGCCAGACCCACTGCAGAGAACAAGGATTGCCCAGTGTGATTCACAAGATGATGTCCTCCTGCAGGGATGACTCTTTGTAAGGATCTGGAAATCAGCGTGGGAAGCCAAGGCTGAGTGTCCTGCAGCTAAAGGACAAAGCTCTGCAAGGAAGCAGTTTGCTTTAATCTGACTTGACTCTTATTTCTGAGGAAGAAGTGAAAAATAACAACATGATTAACATGGTGCATTATTGAATCTACAGGGCTTGCTGAAAGTCAACATGGGCTTAAACTCTTCATGTTCCAAATCGCTGAAGGACTTTAATGCTTTGGCTCTGACCCCATATCCCACGTGCTCACACTTTTCTTGAGTGCTCTGAAGATATCTGGGTGCTCACCATGGGAGTCCCACCATGGCACAGAGATATGTAAGTTCAACAATACAGCATGGGCAGCCGGGGGCCAGGTTACACAGAGGTGTTGAAATCCTTTGGAGAAGTTGCCCTTTGGCTCAAGGAAGGAAAATGGTGCCTCAGGGGCTTTCCAGTACCATATTACCTAATTTGCTTGTAATAGGGGAATCCAGTTGTGCTACAGAGGAAGTCACCAACCTTCCAGCTTCCCTGAGGCTAGAACCACACTGAAGAAGAGCTGTCACAGAAACAGCTATATCTATCCCAATAATTTTTTGATGTGGAATACTGAAACCCAAAAACAAAAAACACAGAACCATGACATACATGAAGAGTTTGGTCACAGTTTCAAAGGCTGTCCTACAGGATGGGAAAGGTTGTCAATATTGTTTAATTATTAGCACAATTTTTGCCAAAATGACGAAGACCATCTCTGACAATTCCTGGACAGGGTGCAGGACTTATCACAACTTAGACATACTTTCCAATTGGCATTTTGGACTCAGCCACTTTATTTTGGAGGGATACAGATGGGTACCAGCTAACCTCAGGGCCAGGAACAGATCCAGGAGCTTTCATTTGCTTATATGCCTTCCCTGCAGTGTCCCAACTCTTGTCAGGACCAGAGAGTAGATGGTAAAATACCACTGAATATGTAAATTAATGATTTTCTAGATGCCTTTCTATGCACCCTCAGAAATTTCTGCCTGGTTGAAGCAGTAGGAGACACACTTTGCTCCAGGGTTGTGTTGATGAGGATAATATCCTCCTCCTACTCATCTCCATTTGTTTAGCTCTCTCTAATTGCAGGAACAACCAGACCATGCTGCTTGCAAAACGCCAGCCCTGCTGTGAGTCAGCTATCAACAGACATTTCCAAGATGGGTGTTATTTATTTATTCTCTTTTATTTCACGCTGGCCAAAGAGCCCCGTTGCATGAAAAACTAGAAGATTAAAGGAAGGATTGAGTCAGGTTCAGACTGGCCTGTCCATGTCTGATCACCAGCTGTTCAGGAGACAGATGAGTCAAACAATGGGAGGAACTGGGGGACCAGAATGGGCTAAGAGGCTGGCATGGGTTATTCAACAGGAACCCAATCTTCTAGGGCATCACAGTTCAGTTCAGAGAATGGACCTGCTGACACTGAACTGCAGTTCTCAGCAACAGGAAAGGACATCTCGTCCCGGATGCCTCCTTGTATCTAGGATGAGTGTTAATGGCCTTAAGTTGTTCCAGGGGAGGTTCAGATTGGATATTAGGAAAAATTTATTCTCTGAAAGAGTGGCAATGCATTGAAACTGGCTGCCCAGGGAGGTGGTGGGGTCAGCATCCCTAGAGGTTTTCAAGAAAAGGGTAGATGTGGTGCTTAGGGACATGGTTTAGTGTAGGGTATGGTGGTAATGGGTCAGCTTTTGGACTTGATGATCCTGGTGGTCCTTTCCAACCTTAATGATTGTACAGTTCTATAAGTGTAATTGCAGTAGCTGCAGAATTCATGAAAAGCAGACTGCAAGTTTGCAGATTTGTTGATCACCATCCAATAGATCAAGAGACAAACAAAAACAACCCATGAACCTTTGTCATAAGGGCAAATCCTATCTTTACCGTGTAGAGATCACCCAAGTTGTATGACTTATGGTTTATTTAATTACCCTTTGTTTCTCTGCTCAAGCAAATTGTGCTTGACCTGCAATATTTGGTTTTCCCAAATCACCAGCAATGGGGAACATTTCAGACCCAAATCCACCAGAACAGAAACAGCCTCACTGAAAGTAGATCTGGAGCACACAGGAACATTGGGCAGCAGGGCTAGGAGGCCACAACCAGCTAGGTCATGGCCATGGGACTCACCAACACTGATCTTCAAAATAGGATTCATGCAGACTGTCTCATTTCTGACACATCTGGAAGGCTCCAGGCACTGATCTTTGCTGGCCTGGTTGGTGTAGACATAGCACATCAGCAAGTTGGCTATGGGAGGGAAACACAGACTGTTTGTATGAGGTCAAAGAAAGAATCTCCTTCCCATTTGGACTCATTCTCATCCTTCTGCAGGCCACGGGACATTAAGACAGACAGTGTGGTTGTGTAGATCCAGCCCTTCTACTGTCCTACCTACACCCAAAATTGCTAAACACCCACTTCCCAGTAGAAAAAAACTTCTTTACAGGTGAGATCTCAGGGCATCAGGCTCTCAGCAGATCCTGACATTCAACTATCACATTACAGTATTTCACAGAACCACAGAATCACAGAATGGCCAGGGTTGGAAGGGACCTCAAGGATCATGAATCTTCAACCCCTCTGCTACATGCAGGGCCACCAACCTCCACGTTTAATGCTAAACCAGGCTGCCCAGGGCCCCATCCAACCTGGCCTTGAACACCTCCAAGGATGGGGCATCCACAACCTCTCTGGGCAGCCTGTTCCAGTACCTCACCACTCTCTGGGTAAAGAATTTCCCCAAATGGTCACTGAGCCAGAACAGCAGTAAAGGCTGCACTCAATTTTTAGCTCAAAGTTCAGCTGTACTCCCCACAAAAAGTGCAGTATTCGCTCCATCCAAAGCTGGGATTGGATTTGCAGCAAAACCAAAAAGGGCCCTTTCTTGTGAGAAACACAGAAGGTGACAAATTTTGGTTTCCTCTGCGGGCAGCTAAACGATGTAGGGTGTCTAAGAACAGGGCCCTGCTGCAGAAGTGTGAAGGAGAGGCAAAGCTGATCTTGCACAGCTGCTCTTTGTTCAAGTAGCCTGTTGTCTTCTTAAAGACCAATGGGTTTAGAATTTAAGAACATGTCTTCTCCAGGGAAAAAAAAAAACAATAGCTCTCATTCCCCCAGCCTCAGACTTGCATGAACAACTCACCAAAGTCCATACAGAGGACAGCACACACAAACACCATCAGAAGAGCATTCATCTCAGTTTGCTCTTCTCAGCCTGCATGGTCTCAGAGGCGGCAGCTCCCAACTCCCTGTGAAGTGCTGGCAGGGATGATGGCCAATATGAAGGCTGGTTCCTGGCTGGCACAGATCACCTGTGCTACTGATACATTTGCACACCATGCAAAGCCTGGACAAAGGTTTCTTGTGGAATTTTGCAGCCAGTGCTTTGCCTTTTCCCAGTCTGTATGCATAACTAAGATTGCCCCAACCCAAGGGCAACATCTTGCACTTGGCTTTGATGAACCTTGTTAGGTTCACATGGGCAGACCTTTCAAGATTGTTCAGGTCCCATTGGATAGCATCCCTTCCTTCTGTTGCATCAACTGCACCGCTCAGCTTGGTGTCATCCACAAACTTGCTGAGGATCCCTCTCAAGCCCTCTGTCTACGTCATTGATAAAGATGTTGAAGAGCATCAGCCCCAACACAGACTGCTGGAGGACACCACTCATCTCTGGTTTCCACTACATATCTATTGCTCAAGGGCACTATGGGGGTAGGAGAAAGATGTCTCCATCTGCTCTTAGCAGAGATGAGAATCCAGTCTCCCTCACCTTGTGTGATATCGGGGCCTGAAAATAAACCCAAAGGAAAGCAAATGCCACTAACATAAGCAGTTCCTCTTTGAAAAAAGACAGGAGATTAGGAAGTGGTGACCAGCCTAGGAGAAATTCAGGCCTCCTGAAAGTGGATGACGACTCTCAGACTTGCACACTATACAAAGTAGATTAGAACTGAAGAAAAGGGGAAATGTGTGCAAACACTCTGTGGACTAACGCTGCACATAACCCACTGGCTGTACAGTTTTGTTGGAGCACTGGTACAAGCTGCCCAGTGAGATGATGAAGTCTCCCTGCTTAGACATCTTCAGAAACCACCCGGACGTGGTAGGGAGAAGTGATGGAGTCACCATCCCTGGAGGTTTTCAAGGACAGGGAAGATGTGGCACTTAAGGACTGGGCTTAGTAGGCATGGTGAGGATGGGTCAGCAGTTGGACTACATGATCTCAGTGGTCTTTTCCAACCTTAGTGATTCTTTGGTCTTGGGTAAGCAGCTCTGGGTGTTCCTGTTTGAGCAGGGGTCTGAGCTGGTAACCTCCAGAGGTCCTTTCCATTCTCACCCATTCTGTAATTCTGCTTCCCCTTCCATCTTTAATTGCCCAATCTAAGTTGAAGCCTCAGATTAGAGCTAGGCCATTAGAAAAGCTCATAACTTCTGAGGCCACATGGATTTCCCTTTGGTGACTTGGTCCAAGAGCTACTCTACTAGTTCCATTACCATGGCTCTGAGATCAGCATGGTATCAGCAAGATCAGAAGAGCACAAGGGAACTAGAGAAAGATGTGCTTTTGCTACAACATCAACATTTTGTCAAAAATTACAACCCAATGTGCAATTGAGATGCTTTTTTTGTTTTCCTGTTACCCCTAAACCATGCCTGGTCCATCTTGGTGAGGTACTGGAACAGCCTGCCCGTGGAAGAGTCACAATCCCTGGAGATGTTCAGGATAGATGTGGCAATGAGTGACATGGTTTAGCAGGCATCGTGGTGAGGGGTTGACAGCTGGACTAGATGATCTTAGAGGTCTTTTCCAACCTTAATGATTCCATGATCTACAGGTCTGCATTTCTTCAGCTGGCCAGTGATGAGTTGTTAATAACCAAGAACCCTCCAGTGCCAGTCTTAGCCCCAAGTTTTCTTATACACATCTCCACGTCTCCAGATCTCTGTTGTTATACCAGACCCGTTTTTCTCCACATTATATCTTTGTGCCTGTGCCATAAATATCTCACTGTATACAGAATAATGGATTGTTATTGCTATCTATAAAAGCCTACAGCTGCATCATACAAAGATAGATAAAAGTAGAACAAATTAGCCAAAGCCACCTGGTCAATTAGAAAAATTGCTCTTACAGCTCAGCCAAGTGAAACAAAGCCTCAGGCAGGTCAAGACAAACTCAGTCAGAGAAAACCTTGCAAACCTAAATCCTGAGGTCTCACAAGCTCATTTAAAAGCTTATAGCCCATTACCAGCAAAAGCAGCACCAAATTAAGGTGCTAAGGGATACCAAACCCTCTTGTCTTAGAAGCTAATGAGCGAAAAAAATAGTCTGAGCAATTTGGTTTTATTTATTGTATTATGTATCCTGTTTAGTTTTTTCTTTTCTTTTCCAGTATACAGAAAGGGACTTTAGAAAGCTGGATAAGAAGTGAAACTGCATCTGTCCAATATAGAATATCAATGACAAAGGGAGAAAAAATGAGTACAAAACAGAAAAATAATAGCATTCTGCCATGTGCCTGGGTTAGGAGAAGCTAGGAAATGAAGCCAGACCTACAGGGCCTTATTCTTCACCTCTCTTCCCCACCTTGAAGTCTCACCTCTAAAAGGGCAACAAACAGGATTTGCTTTCACAGGGAGCCGGAGTGGGGAATCCTATGTCCAAATAGGAGACCAGGATCCCCAGAATCCATTCTCTTATGTCCAGAAACACACAGGAAGAGGAAGCAGTAGAGATTTAACCCTCCTGTGTTCTTCCTCTGATATAAGTAGTGTTTGCAGCACCAGGAATGAACCGCAGGGACTCCTTCTGCCTGAGAGAGAGCTTCCAAGGAGACATAAGCCTTACTTACAACTGATTGCAATAATTCCCACCTAACTCAAGAGTCCAACTTAAGAAATAGACAGAAGAAATTACAGAGAATAACTATATAAAACAAAGAGCTCATTCACATAGAGGCAACTTCTCGGAAGGAATTAGAGAATTCCTCCCCTGACTCACCTTAGTAGGTAAATGTCCTATGTGCAAGAGAAGGGAGAGTTGTACACAATCCACTGAGCTAGTAATACAACACTTTTTTTAGAAGATATCAGCTACCCACTTCCCTATTCCTCCTTTACAAGCCTGATGCACTACAGGCTAGCTAGAATCTGCCTTGGCTTGCAGAGATATCACATCATGCTCTTCTCAGGCTCATGGCAGCAGAAGGCATTTATGACCCCCCTGCAGTTATTTAAAGGCTTATTTCTGAGGCAAACGGATCACTTGTAATTGCAGCCTAATCCAGGTTTGGATTAAGAATTGCAATTAAGCAATTTATTGGAATTCCTCATGCTCCAGCTTGCAGCAGCTCAGGATTAAGATCGGGAGAAGCTGTCCTCAGCACTCGAGATGGGCACAGTTAGACTGAGATATTCCTGAGCCTGTGTTGTTCTTTTAAATAATGCATGTGCTTGGCCGGCCAAGAATATGGCAATTATTTCTAAAAAGAAGCCATAGGGCAAACCAGTCAGCATGTCATCTACTCGCTCCCTGTGGGATGCTAGTGATGGGTAGCTATCCCCTTCCTTCCAAAGCTAGGCACAGTGCCACAAGCTCTCCTTCCTACTGCACAAACTCGATATCCTAGAGTTTTATCTTTGCCTTGGCAGCCGTTCCTCTTCCCCTCATTAGACTGCCCTTCATTTTGTCACAAGGATCCAGTTTCTTGTAGGTCAATCATTCCCTTTCCTTTGCAGCCGCTCACCTTGGCACAGCAGTACCACATTTACAAACACATGACATGGGCTAATGCCATGGCCCAGCAGAGCTTATTTTACAGCCATCTGAACTCAGCCAACTGTTTATGGACACAGAGTACAACACGGAGCTCCTGAAGCACATATTTTATTAATGCCAAAACACAGCTGTGATTTCCTTTTACTAAAGGGGGCTGGATAAGAAGGTATTCCATTTACTGCATTCTGAGGAAGAATGCCTGAAGCCCAGCAATGATGGTCTCACTTAAATATTTTCCTATCATATTGACAAAAAAATCCCCTTTAAAGTTTCTGTTCCATTTTTCCCCCCTTTTTTTTTTTCTCCTCCGGTTTTGCAACATCAGGTCTCATGGGAAGAAGGTGGGGGGAGAGAGCAGAACCCTCTGGCAACCTTTCTTGTTTCTCTTCCTCACATCCCTGCAGGAATTTCCCACCTCTCACCAGCCTGCCAGCCTACAGCTGTTTTATTTTCTCCTTAATCCGAT